ATATCCGATTCGAAAGGTCCAGGGCGCCGTCCCCTGAGTCGATGAGAGTTAGTTGCTCTGAAGAGATCTCTACCAGCAGTGAACAAACTCGAACCACCCCGCCTGTACACCTCCTCCATAGCCGAGAGAACTAATTGCATGTAAATCAGGCAATAGATGAACTTTGCATGACACCCAAAGCGACTCAGAAGTCCACGGGTTCGGCTAACAAACTAGCAATTCACACGCCAGCATTGAACTGCCTCTCTGAATTAATTATACTCGGCTTCATGGCTAGGGGTTATCTCAGATTCATGGTGCGGATGAAATAGGTGACTTCGTTGATGTGTCGATGTGGTGCTGAGAGGTACCATACTCTCTGGAACACTTTACCGCGAAGAACAATTGTGTCGTTTCGATTGCGTTTGCGCACGGCGCGCTGAAATTGAAGGAATCTTCCGTACGTTCGGTTCGTAGAAATTAGCTCAATGCAACCTTTATTTGAATTTGCCCGTGGGCAGATGCTCAGCGCCGCAACCCTTGCGACACGCTCTGCAGACATGAAAGCGGAACAGGCCAGTGTAGCCTCTAATGTCACCGTAAACACACTAAATTTCAAATACTCGTCCAATATGTTTGATTGTTTCTACCTGGTTGACTAGTCAAGCTCAATCGAGTCCAACTCTTCTCCGTGTGCCACTATGTAGTCAATCAGGAGGTGTTTCCATTCGACAATCTTGTCATAAGCTCGCTGAGCAAGCGCTTCTTCGTCCTCATCGCCATCAAACGCCAGTTCGCCATCACAATATGTTTCAAGGCTGCCTCATATTAACCTTCACGTACAATTTTCAGCTCATTGATAGTACTTACATGGAAAGGCAGTAAGTCATCGCACGGCAAATGCACCAGTACTTAGTTCCTTCGACCTTGCAACATGTTAGCATTCGTAGATGATACTTAGATATAGGCAGGCTAAGTCACATACTGGCTCAATACACTGAGCAGGATCTCTTCCAAGGTTGTTATCCACCCAGCAAAAATCACATTGTTCGCGATACCCAGTACCACCTCCCCTGCAATTGAGTCCCCCATAATCGTATTCATCGTCAGCTGTTGCTTCCCTATGGTTGTGAGCGTAGCCATCGACGACGGCACGGAGGCAAGGGTAGCAGAATACATAGGAATGACTGTCAGGCTTTGGTTGGAAATTAGTACGGAATAGGCAATATTTTGAAGAGATT